CTACGAGAGATTGTACGGCAATTCTGGGACACCCTGTATATACCTTTTTATATTTTTATTATTGAAATACGGATATACGGCACAAAATTAATTGTCTTGTTTTAGAGACTTTTTTCTTCGACGAGGAGGCAAAAAATAATGTTAAACAGTAAAAACGTTTGAAATATAAAAATACAAAAATTAGATCAGACAAACAATAACAGAAAATTATTCATACATCTTACACAACGAGCATATTATCATTAATATTACATTCTTATTTAGTAATTTAATGGTTTTGTTCTTGCTCTCTTCTGAAATAATGAGATGTTTATTGAGCGACGTAACAGACGGCGGCTGACTACTCGCTTTTCCGGCCACGAAATTCGTCGTCCATTCCACGACCATATGGATAATATTTCACTCCTCTTTTCTATTCTCCTCAGCGAGAGCACTGCGGTTGCGCAACCTCTATGACAGACGCGACAGCACGAATTAGCGTTTCCAGTGACATTGCGAAAACGGGCAACGCGCATTAACCCCAGCAATACGTGCTCATCCCTGAGTTTTGATTTTCCGTGAGATCGGATATCGTTTCATGTAGTCACATTTAGAGAATACAGAGTGTCTCAAAAAATGCGGCGCAATCTCCGCAAACTGTTGTTATTTGTGAATCTTGATTAACATAATCAAATAAATATTTTCAGTTTAACGTTACGACCGCGCATTAGATGTTTTTCGAATACATCTTTAAAAAGTAACTTCTGTTTAAAGAATAGGATAAATAACAATAGCCTTTATAAATTTGGAAACACCCTATGTTTTACAGGCAAACAAATCGCATAACAGCAATTTGTGCATGTTTTTGGTTTGAATACATTGTAAGACGTTCAAATGATGATAAACATTTTTATCTTGGACACTTATAAGCTTGTATATGCAGAAAATATGTCAGACAATCATTTCGTGGCTACAATCATTGTTTTTGCGTTGTAAATACAGAGAAACAGTACATTGTTTAAAGTCGTTCAATTATAGTTCCTAAATAAAAAAGTGGTAAACCATTTAAGTCGTAGATTGATTTCAGACTCCGTAAAAATGGTAAAAGCTGCAACAAGTGTTGAAAATAAATAATCGCAAAACAAGTAACAATAGACAAACAATAAACTGGCGCGCGAAATTCACATCTGAGTTCTTTGATACTGCGGAATGATTGTTCGATATATTTTCGGCATACAAGCTTATAAGTGTTCTTAGATAAAAATGTTTATCATTATTTCAGACGTCTTACACAATGTATCTAAATCAAAAACATGCACAGATCGTTGTCAATTTGTTTGCCTGCAAAACGTAAGCTGTTTTCAAACCAATAGAAGATACTGTATGTGTAAAATTGATCATTAAATAAAATTCAGTGTTACGCATTTTTTTAAAATATATTTTTATCTCAAAAATCCTTGTTGAATGTTTGTTACTCAATATTAAGAGTTTAAATCGAGCGCTTATAATTGAAAACATAGAATCGATGTTGAAAAGTAGCTAACTACTTCTTTTCACTTATATCATTTGTTTATAATTCGAAGACACGAATTCAAATATGACGCGCAATTTTTAACACACCTCGTATACGCTGTCGTTCTATTTCTTTTTTTTTTTTTTTTTTTTTTTGGTTCTATAACCGCAATGTTTGTAGTGCTCAGACAAAGCTTAATGCACTGTCCGGATAGACGGCGGTTTTGCAAAATATGTTTGCGTTACCATTGGACTAATTGGACGCTTTAATATTTGAAACGAAAATAAACGTGGAAGTCTCATTTCCGTCTGATATTTTCTTTCCCCGGGGGACATTATTAGAGAACTTGTGTCTGCTTAGTAACATACATCCAAAAGCGGCATCCACGTTTATTAATACATGTTAATGTATCTCTTCTTTTACTTTGTCAATGATCTTGCGACCAATTTATCTAATAGCGTTTAATACTGTAATGTGCTTCAAAGCGCTAATCAAGATTCAAAATACAAAATAAAGTTTGGGAATAGAAGATGCGATTTTTTTGTGTTTTTTTTTGTTAATGGTAGATTTAAGTAACGTACACATTTCTCTAAAAAAATTAAGAATCTAGAACAGAATTATTGTATATTACGAGAGTAATAAAAAATCATCTTACAAATAAAAAACCAGGACGATAACAAATTAGTTTATTGCTTATAATTTTTGTTTTATTTTATAATAAGACAAATAAACGTGCATGTACGAGAGAAAGAGAGAAACTGTTTTATATTCGATATTATTTATCGTGAAGCTAATGTAGAGTTTATTATGACACGTTTATCCTAGCCGGGTGGTTGAACGTTGGTTATTGATGCTCGAACTCGAGACGCGAATCACGGAGCTAAATTAGCGATCTATCCGCTATCCGTCCGATTCATGTCAACATAGCAATGTGCAGTGTATACACGGCGCGAGCGACCATAGCCGAACGTGATTGTCGATTGATCGGATGCCGATAATCTGATTTCGATCGCTTCTTGATTAACCTTGTCGTTGCTTTTTCGTCGGTCATCCGGATATCGTTACGGACACCGATCGCGTAAAAATTACGGAAGTGCGTTCACACGTTCTCTTTCTCTCTCTTTCTCTCTCTCTCTCTCTCTCTCTCTCTCTCTCTCTCTCTCTCTCTCTCTCTCTCTCTCGAGCGGTTTTGTCAGCAGTTGTCGAATTCGTCACGGATCGTGCCACCTTTGTTGATCTCATTTCCTGTTTTTTTGTATCTGTCAGGTATTTAATTAACATTTCTGTCGGCGATTAATTATCGACATTGTTGTTGCGCGGCATGTTGTACATAAAACGCGAGAGAAGGAAACACTGTCAGTCATTGGAAGGTATCAAGTGCAACGACCTATCGTTACCATTGATGCGCGAATTATTCTCGGTAATTCTCTCTACAAGCGAAAACATTGTCGAACGCTAATTTTGCTTTTGTGAAAGGAACACCGAATTTTTATCAAATGAAAAATAATATAATATGTAAAACAGTTGCGGATAGATTACTTTTCTCTCTCGAGCGCATAGGAAAATTCGTGCATTCTGATGAAATTTATGCAGGTTTGGGTACAAAACTATTCGCCCGATCCGTAACATTTAATGAAAGCGTTTATTTTAAAAAGCGTTGTATACGCCGATCTAAAATTATTTTCCGACTTTGCGCCGTTTCGCATCGCGTTTTCGGGTCACGTCAAATTTTGCGAAGGAATGAAATAAAATCACAACGTGGGAGAAAGAATTCGTTAACTATTTCGAGATCGAATTCTCTAAGATTCGCGAGGAGAAAAACAATACAAGCGAATAACAGACATTTTTAACAAAGAAAAGAATCGAGAGTAACAAATATAGCAAAAGGGAAACGGGGAAAAGAACAAAAAACAAACTACACGAATAATAGAAATAATTTTACGCAAGAATATATAAAATAAGGGATTAAGCTTCGAGGAAAAAATTCGATATATAAAACAGAGAGAAAGAGAGAGAGAGAGAGAAAGAGAAAGAGAGAGAGAGAGAGAAAGAGAAAGAGAGAGAGAGAGAAAGAGAAAGAGAGAGGAGAAGAGAGCGGCTCGGAAAAACGGTCGGAAAAGGAGAGCGAGAGAAAGGAGAGCCGGAGAGAGGCGAGAATATCCGACGAGGTGCGCCGCGTAGCTCCCACCCCTTCGCGCCCCCCACCTTTTCCCGACCCCTCGTAGCGGCAGCAACCCCCGTACAGCGCTCTTCTTTACCTCAGTAGCGCCGGGCGTCTCGACGCGGCAGCACGTTATACTAGGGGATTTAGCACGCGGCTTCGAATTCGCTTTCTCAAAATTTACCACATTTTCGATCTCACTTGTTTTCCCTTTTTCTCCGTTTGTTCAAATACAAATCTACATCTCTTCTTTTATATTTTCTTTCAATAGACCGCCACCCGGTCATTCTCACGCCCTTATCAACCCTTCTCGAGGGTTTGCGGTGGGACCCGCCCACCCGCGCGCGAGTGACTTTTTCCTTTCCCCCCTCCCCTTTGTACGCTGATTTCCCCCTCTTCAGCGCGCAGGAAAACAGCGGCGCGTGAAGTTGCGTCCGCCGAAGACCCGAAATCAGGAGCGCTTTTCGGAGAACTGTCGAGATAGCGAGAAAAAGTCTGATCGCACAAGTGAAGTAGTCTGCTCGGCCGCACTTTTAATTTTATCTCTTATCAACCGTTCCGTTCACTCATCTCTTAGAGATATATGTATATATATATACATATATATATTATGGAAAAGGATCTGTTCTCTCTCTGCGGAGACGCCCGGCGCGGTTAGTTCCAAGTGTGACGCGGCGGAGCGGACTTCGCGCGCGTGTATCGCGTATATACGTTTTGGGAACTCCCTGGTCTTTCGTTTCGACAGTGGACGTGCGCAAACGAGCCGTTGGAAACGAATCTACAGTTGAACAGTGAGAGAGCAGAGAGAGAGAGAGAGAGAGAAACTTGTTTATTTTCATACACTCGACAGTGTCGCGAAACAACCCCCCGAGGGGCGCCGATTGTGACAGTGAAGGGTGTTTCGGTATCCCGGTGTGCTCCAGTGTGTGATTCATTCGAACGTGTGACTGTGTGTCGGTGACAATTGCGATTTATGTCAATCGCCGCAGAGTGCGTGGTGCCAGACAGATATCGAGAGAAAGAAAAAAAAGTAGTGATTTATGATTTAAAAGATACCCGAAGTAGTGTGCAGTGACGTTAATTCGAAACAGTGACGAAAAACTGTCCGACTGACATATTTGGAATATATTGCGAAAGTGTTTTTTTTTTTTTTAAGTTATGGCTGTGCCGAGAACGACGTCGACATTTCGACCGGATGGCGGCGGTGGAGGCGACGACGGCAGCAGACAATCGCGAAGACGTAACTCTCAGATCGGCGTTAGAATCGGTCGTCGATCGTCAAAGCGATCGTCGAGTATCGAGGTCACGGCGAAACAAGCTGGTCCCGCTGGCAAATTTCTTCTTATCGGTGCGGTCTTGGCTATACAGTTCGTCGGTGCAGCAGCGGCTATGCGGACTTCGTTCCCAAACAGAGGTGAGCGCGGAAACTTTCTTCGCAACACCGTCACCGCAATGAGACATATCGAAAGATTTATATATTTGACGATTCTTCAATTGAGATGACACTTGACGACGCGCGCGTCGTTTACTTTCACAAGAGACGGAATTTTAAGTAAACAACGAAATGATCGATAAATAACTTCGGGGCTGTGACATATCGCGTCTGTCACAGCAAAAAGATAGGAATATAAATATGAGGAAGAAAGGTGCTTTTAACGCGCGCCGCCGGTGATGAGAATTTCCACGCCTAATTCGAAGGATCATTATTTATCTCTGTAATGAATAAGGGTTCAGGCGGGAATGTCGAGAAAAACGCTAATTTTCTGTCACGTGTAATTTATGATAGCCGAACAGCAACAAATAAACAGTATAATATCGAGAAAAACAATTACCAAGAGGAAGTTTATTAAAGATAAAATCGATTCTTTTTATTTTTTGTTGACGGAAAAAAAATGTTGGTTTTATCAGGGGGGGTATTTTTCGTCGTGCATTTTCGCAAAGACGCGAAATATACATTATTTGTAATCTCATTACATTTTAAACGTATCCCTAAAATCCTTCGTTCTTGTAACGTCGCGACTTCAACTTGGAAACTTCGGCCGTTTACTTAAAGCCGGATGAGGAGAACGTGCCTATCAGCACGAATCGTTCAAGTTTTGATCCGCGAAATATTCCATCGCGAATCCAGACACCGCCGATTGGAGCACGAACATACCGCGATCGTGGAAGAACACGATTTAGGAATTCGATTCTCGACGGTTCGGTTGCCGACGAGTCAGACTCTGCCGAGTGCTGATTATACCGCGAGAAAAGGATGACGGGTTCCGGAGCTGTGCGCTCCGATTCGATTTCGTATTCGAGATGGTCGACCACAGTAACTGTGTGCGGGATTTAAGAGATCGGTCGAGTAATGGCGAGACACGGAGATGCATACTAAATGACGCGACGGCGATCCCCGGTGTGATCGGCGGTTCTCTTCTCTCATCTTTGAAACCAAACTAAGCGCAAATTTGCGCGCAGCCTCCTCCTCCTCTCACATCCGCATTACGGAATGTTGTCAGGTCGTGAAACACTCAGAGAGCAATCACGACGCGAAAATTGCAATCGATTATTCCGTTTTGATGAAAATTCGCGCAATCTCGCGCAAGCATCAGTGCGAGAGAGATTCGATCGAGACAAAAGATAATCAATTAACACGTTGTTTGTAAGTTTGTTTGTCACAATCCTTCTGATTGGATAATCAAGCATAGTGGAGTGTTTAACGTCAAATATTAAACATATCAAATTAGATTATTAATTCAATATTATACGCGCGGATGTGGCGGAACGATAGTTAACGCAATCAACTACACCGATGATATTTCGAATCAAATCTTACATATAAAGATACGGCGAGATACGTTAATAAATGTTATAAACTTTGAAAGAAAAAATCTGGCGCGCGTATAAATCATACGCGCGAACATTTGTATATATATTTCTCGTGTCTATTTATTGATATGCATCGAGAGAAAGGTTTTTTTGATACATTTATTCGTAATATATTGTTACGCGCACGAGTGGAGCGCGTGTTTTAAAAAAATTTTTATATTAATATTGAAACACATATACATATATATATATATATATATATATATTTTAGATCAAATGCAGAAACTTTATTATATAAAATGTACACGTCATACTGATAATAAAATTTCAATTGTTTATTATTTTCAATTGTTTAAAATTCGCTCTTCGATTAATAACTGTGCGCGAGGCGTGTTACGTGATTATGCGACGTGTATACGAGATGAACTAAAGGATGTTAATGTAAATTTCCTGCAACGACGCAATATAGCGAGTAAACAATTCTTGTGTGCTCATCTCTCGAGTAGCTCTGCATTATATGAGACAAAGAACGATGTGTATATAGTTATCTAATCGATAGACTTAATACTTGCGTTACTCGTGCGACACGCATTTGGTTGTTTCGTAATTTGCATGTTGACAAAAAAACAAAAACAAAATTAATAATTTTAACGACAATATAAGAGCTTCAAAACTCTCCGGATGTTATTAAAAATTGAAACGTTTTTCAAATATATGTGTGCGTGAAGAATTGTTTGAAATAAAAATTTACCGAGTCGCGATAAAAAAAGAAAAGTGTTTTCTTAGAAGAAAGTGAATGGAACGATTAAATTTCACACACACACACACACGCACACACACACACACACACACATACACACTCTCTCTCTTTGATGTTTTGTATTTATTACAAAAGTATCTTGGAATCTGCTTTTTCTCCACTTTTTATACTGCGCAAAGCGCGCCGTTACATCGAAAGCGCTTGACAAACATTGAAAAACAGTAAAAAAAGGTATCGAATGATAAGAGAGAAATAACACGTAAAGTTTCGAACGCGCGTCTATATTTATACAAGTATTTACAGTACAAACCGCTGTCTTTCTCAAAGAAATAAACATGAGTTTGACAGAATTTCAAATCGATCGGATCTCCACCACACTTGTCGCGTATATCGCATATTTCTACAAGTCTAATAAAACAATTTGTTTGCATTTGGAAAAAGTTCGCACGTGCTTTCTCTCTCGATTGTATATATATTCGATTAAAATGTGCATCGCGACGGATGCTGTTTCCTGTCTTACGTAATGCACTCTCGCAATTTGTCAGAGAACTGAGACTCCGTTGTCTTGCAAGTTTTCTTTCGTAACCGTTCACGTAACGTCGAATCACGTCGGCGCCGTCGTCATCGTCGTTGGGCGGCGTATCGCCTCGATAAGACCGACGTTGAATTAATTGAAAGTCGTCGCTGTTGAAACGCTGCTTCGCAGAGCTTCGCGCGGAAACGCGGCGGACGTCATTTTGATCTGGTTTTAATTAAACAACGGACGACATCGCGTAGAGAAGAGAATCGGGAAGGTTGGGCCGCGCGCGCGTGTAGTCGATAGGTGGACGAGAAACGCTACGGGGCAGGGCCGGGAAGAGGGTTGACAAGTGGAAGCTGGATGATTGAGGGCAACGACGGAACGTTTAACGCGATTAAAAAACGTCGCATGGTCGATCAAAGGCGTCCACAACGATCGCTCGTGGCACGCGAAATTCATCGAACGCCGCTGGCAAAAGGACGACGGTCTTGTCGCGTACGTACAATGTCGCTCGAAAACGCCAGTTTGAACGATCGCTTGTATATAAAAGTGCAATATAACCAACAGAGCGAGAGATCCGCTATATTCACGGTAAATGAACTCGGGGGTGAAGTTCATGTCTGTATTTTGTGAAAAACTATATAATTTGGGACACTCTCTTGTCTATAACGATCAATATTTTTTTATATCTATCTGACGTAATGCACGGAAAGATAATATATGTATAATATAGATATTTATAAAATAATGTAAATATAGATCATCAACTTTTTATATTTATGTTTTTCTATACAAAATTTTCGCCGAGGTTCTAAACAAAAACAAGTGACATTTTACGAAAATTTGACACAAGCGTTTCTCTATCAACAATTAAACACGCTAGAAACATTAAAAGTTAAAGTTTTGTTATTATAATAATTTACGAAATTGCAACTTGTCAATTAGCAATTCTCTAGCGCGCAAAGTCGGATGTTTGCGCAAAATTCGTTGGCTAGTTAATGTAACTTAGTTAGCACGTGCGTGAAGTGTGGCGGCGAACAATATATATATATATATATGTACGTCATTTGATAATATGAACTGTAGTAAAAAAACAAAGATTAGTGGCAAATAAATTTAAATCAAAACTCTAATTGATAACGTCAAAAATATACAAACAAAGTGTTAAATATATTACAATTACGATGTACATTATATAATATAACGTACATATTAATCTTTTTAGCAGTACGAGAATATAATTCCCGCGTTGTAAAATAATCCGCATTGTATTATTATATTACAGCAGATTTAGTTTACAAATAATGTGTTTATTTTGTATTTATCAGAAAGTTATGACGAACATATAAACAAATGTATTTACATGTTTGTCATAACTTTCTGATAAATAGAAAAAATAAAAAGACAAATATAAAATAGAAGTGACATTTCTATGTGCGAGATGCAGTTAAGCATGTTTTAGTACTTAAAGAGCCTCAAATATATTTACTTTTTTTCTGCCAGATAAAATAAAATATTCAGAAGGGAGAGAACGTGATTGTGTGTGATTCAAGAGAGACTTATTGTGTTAACGTTCGAAGATGTTTGAACCACTTTAGTGTCATTTTATACCGACGTTTTGTGAACAATTCAGCTCACTTCATCAAGGGTTTCAAGAACAGCTTGGATACTACACTATATCACAGAATGTTAATAAAACACACACCGCGAAAGCGTCAAATATATCAGACTTATCTGTGTTTTACATATTTGTCACGAAAGTTACAATTTTTCGACAATACGTGAAGATATTTATTTAAATTTATTTAACGCGTGTAAAATTTCATATTACAGTAAAAATTTTCTGGTTTCACAAAATCATGGCTTACATACACGACGATATGGTGGTTACGTAATATTTCCTCACACATGAATCAGACGTTCTTGCGTCATTCTCGAAAGGATGGTTTCATGAGAGAAGACTCGTGCGGATTACCGCCGTATGAACGAACGCACATTCATAGCGGCTTTCGCGAACTGTCACAGTCTCAGGACGCATCATTCAAATTAACATCGTGTCATACATCTGAGTTTTAGATGAAAGTAGTTATATTACCGTATTACGGGCGAGATTGCGCGCGCGCGCGCGCGCTTTGCACAAGATTTTCTTGAGCGTCCATAGCCGGTATCTGTATAAAAGTCACGTAACACACTATGGCTATCCTTTCCCTATTCTGTGTTACGAGCGATCTGTGATTCGCCGGCGTTTCTATACGCTCCTAGTTGCCGTGTTTAATTATACGTGGACATTTTATCAATTTTCATTCGCGATATAAGTTGCGTG